CACACACACACACACACACACACACACACACACACACACACACACATACACATACACATACACATACACACACACACACACACACACACACACACACACACACACACACACACACACACACACACACACACACACACACACACACACACACACACACACACACACAGAGGGGTGCAAATACATTTACCTTTTTCTAAGTGCACTTTTTACAACAGTAAGTATGAAAAAATAAAGAGTAATTAAGAATGTGTTATAAAGCACTCTTCAAATATCTTTCAATAGAATAACCAAGTAAACAGATACATGTAATCTCTCTAAAAAAAAACATAACTTAAATACTTAATCTTTGCTGTATATTCTTATAAAATAGGTAGCATTATATGATGCTGTATCACAATACAATTCATAGAATTTCAAGAGTATTTCAAATAACTAGCAGGCCCTGGGGAAATTCCATGGAACAAATAAATGAAGAGTACTTCTCCTCTCCTCTCTCCTTTCATTTCACCCTCTCCCTTCTACCTCAAACCTCCTTTCTCCCTTTCCTTTGCTCAAACCTCTGCCTTTCCCTCTCCCTTTTCCTCTCCTTCTGACTTTACTTTTCCCATCCCGTCTCCCTCCCAAATCTTCCTTAAATTCACTCTTCCCCTCTCACTTTAAGCCTACATCTGCTCCCTCCTACTTCCCTCCTCTTCCCCCTTAACCCACTGATGATGGGATGATGTCCTATAAGGTCTTTTAGACCATCCCTAATACTGGGATGACATCTTCCATTCAAATGTGGTCAAGCCTGCTCCAAGTTATGCATGCTAGACTTTGGTATGCTTGACTGGCTTAAAGCCTTAAAGGGTATTGTGAGCAGGGTAGTTTATGTTCCCCATGCTTCTGATTTCTCCCTATATCAGCTGTTTTCACATGCACCCTGACGTGTTGTTCGGTATGGTACTGGGGGGCTCCTGCCATTGTCACCCATCCCTTTTGCTCCCTTATATCGTTATCTTATCCCTCTTTTCTCTCTGAGCCCCCTCCCCCTACTCTGTCTTTACCTCCCCCTTTCTTCTTTTAGAGACCCCTACATTTTCCCTTCCCAATCTCCCTTTTCTCTTTTAGCCCACTTCCCCTCTGTCTCCCTCCTTTTTCCTTTAAGTTCCCTTTCTTTTCTCCCCCTTCATTTCCCCTTCCCCTGCCATCTTTCCTCTTAACTTCCCCCCTCAGACAGTCGCGTAAATATCAAAAATGCGTGCATGTGTGTGTGTGTGTGTGTGTGTGTGTGTGTGTGTGTGTGTGTGTGTGTGTGTGTGTGTGTGTGTGTGTGTGTGTGTGTGTGTGTGTGTGTGTGTGCGTGTGCGTGCGCGTGTGTGTGCGTGTGTGTGTGCGCGTGTGTATGTGCGTGTGTATGTGCGTGTATGTGCGTGTGTGGGTGTGCGTGTGTGTGAGTGTGCATGCATGCGTTTGTGCATGTGTGCGTTTGTGTGCATGTGCATGTGCATGTGTGTGTGGGGGGGTGTGGGTGTGTGTGTGAATGTGAGAGTGAGTGTGAGTGCGTATGCATTTCTTTAATATTTGTGTTGTTAATTATCACCCTAATTTTCCATCAAAATGAAGCACCTTCAACCTTGCAGGCACATGGAATATGAGTTCAGGCATAATGTGCCCACTGTATATGATAATCAAGTGACTTCAACAGTGCAGTCATCACATTATAATTTAAGGCATAACATGTAAATGAATGAAAAATCAAATTGAAGAAACACAAGCAAAATTACAATATAAATGACTATATCTAAACTTCCTTATTATTATATCAATACAAGAGGTACCACACTTCATGTATTATTACAAATATTACATATGATATAATATTCCACTCTTCTATTACATAAACAAAAATACTTAAATCAATAAAGGACTTGACAAAAAGCTTGAATATGTTTTCCTTTTTTCCTATGCCACAAATAAAGGACATATTAACAAGAAAAATATTGATAACTTAAAATAAAGAAAATTACTATACTCTTGCCACTTGTAAATAATGTCACCAACAGTACTTATAGCTATCTGAATCATATCATTTTCACAATTACTAAGAATTACCTACAGAAGTAACAGCCATTCAGTCTTTAAAATGTAGTGAGCAATTAAAAAAAAAATTTAATCATTACTGTGACTCAGTCCTAAAAACTAAAATCAAATAATGATGATAAAATAATCATTCTTACTTGAAACTTGTATCAGATAAAATATCCATATGAAAAGAAAGAAAAAGGAAAAAAGCCTAAATGGCAGCAGCCTCTGTAGGAAATATAAAAGGAACACAACACTTACCAACTGTAGTGCCTGCGGATGCTCTGACAACGGTGGACTTCCGTTTATGCTGAAGTTCTCAACTGAGGCTAAGCCAGCTGCAAAGTCATTACTGCCAAGCCACTGTTGGAGGATAAAAAGACATCATTCTAGAGTGGGAAATATTATGTTGCATAATTTGAATATGTGGTAAACGAGCAAGCCAGAAAAGATTGAGAAGGGAAGAAAAAGGATGAGGTGAAGAATGAGGGAGAAGATGGTGGAGAGGAGGAGAGGGAAAAGTCTAAGGTAGAAGATTAGAAGGAAAGGGAAAAGGTTGAAAAGAATGAGATAGAGGAGTATGAGAAAAAGGAGGGGAAAGTCATAATTGTCAAGAGAGTAAGAGGAAGAGAATAGGGAGGGAAAGAGTAGGTGCAGAAAAGAAGGAACACAAGAGATTGAAGTCTCATATACCTCCTGCATGCCTGACGGTCCTGCTAATGCCTCAACAACCACCTCTGGTAGTTCCTGAGATCCCTGCGCTGGAACACCTGGATAACTGAACCCCTTAGACGTGCCTGTGCGCTCCTCCTGAACTCCATCATGACTGTCTGGGTCTGCACTATCTGAGCCTGTGACACTCGGGTCTATGGAGTTATTGTGACTTAGTTCTGGATCTTCCCATACTTCCTCTTTAATGACTATTGCATCTTCACTTGTATCCTGTAATATACAGAAAAGCATATATATCATGATATACTGTTACAAAACTATACTTGCTTTAATAAGAATGGTTCACATTCATTTGTGAGTGAAAGAAACATTAAAGAATTATAAACACTAACCTTTGAGGGATTCCTAGTGGCTGACTGTTCTTGTAACTTCACACCTGAAAGCATATTCGACTCTTCAGGCACTGAATTACTGGCTGCAGATTCTCTGTGATGGAGGGACTCTGTCTCAGACTCACTGCCTCTAACCTGCTCTGGATACACCTCTCTTCTAATTCTGTCTTCTGATGTGCTATAATCTAATCCTTCACCATCTTTGGAATATGAGGATAACCTGGGTGAGTGTGCATTGTTGTTTTCAAAAAGTTCCCTGGGAGATGATGAGCTTGAGTCATCTTGTTTTCTTCTCTTTGGGTGTGGACTCCCTCTGTCATCAGTAGAATCAACAAACTCTCTTGACTGGGGGCTCCGCCTGGCATTTTTACTATTAGAATGTGACACCGTATCTTTGACTGTTTGTACTTCATCTGGAACAGCCAAGCCTTTAATCTGCAACAGCTCAGCTACCTTGATTAAACGAGCGAGATCCTTCTGCGCAACACTCACAACGCCAACATACATATAACTCAGTAGTGCCTCTATCTCATTGCACATGACATCTTGCAGCAGGACAATGGGGTGCTTTCCAAGTGTGTGGTCAAACATCTCCTCAAAATATTGACTGCACGTGGAGAGAACTAGTTTGTGCACAGGGTAGAATTTGCCTTCACAAGCCAATGTTGCATCTGTGTATCTGTCCTGAAATTAAATCATATGAGAACTGTATAAGCAAAATGCTTCCAAGAAAAAAAAAGTGATTGCCCAATTTTTCAGACATAATAACTAACATTACAAGCAGCGTGTGTGTGTGTGTGTGTGTGTGTGTGTGTGTGTGTGTGTGTGTGTGTGTGTGTGTGTGTGTGTGTGTGTACATACATACATACATACACATATACACACATACATAAACACAGACACAGACACACAGACACAGAACACACACACACACACAACACACACACACACACACACACACACACACACACACACACACACACACACACACACACACACATACACACACACACATATACACACACATATATACACACACATATATACATACATACATACATACATACATACATACATACATACATACATACATACATACATACATACATACATACATACATACATACATACATACAGATACATAGAGAGAGAGAGAGAGAGAGAGAGAGAGAGGAGAGAGAGAGAGAGAGAGAGAGAGAGAGAGAGAGAGAGAGGAGAGAGAGAGAGAGAGAGAGAGAGAGAGAGAGAGAGAGAGAGAGAGAGAGAGAGAGAGAGAGAGAGAGAGAGAGAGAGAGAGAGAGAGAGAGAAGAGAGAAGAGAGAGAGGAGAGAGAGAGAGAGAGAGAGGAGAGAGAGAGAGAGAGAGAGAGAGAGAGAAGAAGAGAGAGGAGAGAGAGGAGAGAGAGAAGAGAGAGAGAGAGAGAGAGAAGAGAGAGGAGAGAGAGAGATGAATGATGAATATGAATGAATGATGAATGAATGAATGAATGAGAGAGAGAAGAGAGAGAGAGAGAGAGAGAGAGAGAGAGAGAGAGAGAAGAGAGAAGAGAGAGAGAGAGAGAGAGAGAGAGAGAGAGAGAGAGAGAGAGAAGAGAGAGAAGAATGAGAGAGAGAGAGAGAGAGAGAGAGAGAGAGAGAGAGAGAGAGAGAGAGAGAGAGAGAGAGAGAGAGAGAGAGAGGAGAGAGAGAGAGAGAGAGAGAAAGAGAAAGAGAAAGAGAAAGAGAAAGAGAGAGAGAGAGAGAGAGAGAGAGAGAGAGAGAGAGAGAGAGAGAGAGAGAGAGAGAGAGAGAGAGAGAGAGAGAGAGAGAGAGAGAGAGAGAGAGAGAGAAAGAGAAGATATAGATATGATATAGATATATTACTTTACCAGATAAAAATATCAATGAATTTCATACTTATCGCTCTCCAAGCATTTACCTTAATGGTAACTTTTTCATACTAACATATCTGCATACTAAATACTTTCTATCATAAATGTTGCTAATTCCTTGCATATTTGGCCATAAGTAAACAGCAAAAGGTAACATGTTTGTTTCTATATTTTTTTTTTATTTGTCCACAAATGCATGATAGGGGTAGTGAGCTTATTCACAGATCTTTTATTAACTCTTTGACCATATATCCATAAATATACTGATTCTATTCCATACACCTACATATTTCATACACATATATTTCATCCACCATAATTCATCAAAAACATAAATTTCATACATCTAGCGATCTTATTGCAATTTACCTAATACATCTACCTATTTCATAGCCCCATAATACATCCTAATTCATGACTCACACCCATTTCATTCCATACATACACTTATTACATAACTGCATAATTCATCCCAAATTACGGTCACTACCTTGTGTCTGAGAGCTGAAAGCATGTGGCAAAATGTCGTGCTGTGATTATTCCACGACAGAGATAGCATTCCATCCGTCATGTTGAAATAGGTTTTTGGTCTTTGGTGTTGATCTGGAAGGGAAAGAAATATAAATTGGTTTATATCACTTGTTTACGGGATTAACTTGAGGAAGGAAGGGAAAGAGAAGTGAGATAAATGATAATTAAAATTATGACAATTTAGATAATGATGACAATAGTGATAGTGATGGTAGCAGTGACAGTAACAATTGCAATAAATTGGAAAGGGTAGAAGAAGAAGAATGGGAAGAATAACAAGAGGGAAAGGCAGAAGTGGAAGAGGAGGAGCAAGAGACTTGGAAACAAATAAAGGAGTAAAAATAATAGATAAGGGTGAAAAGGTAGAGGAGGAGGGGAGGAGGAGGAGGAGGAGGAGGAGGAGGAGAGGAGGAGAGAGGAGGAGAGGAGGAGGCATAGGCATAGGCATAGGCACAGGCACAGGCACAGGCACAGGCACAGGCACAGGCACAGGCACAGGCACAGGCACAGGCACAGGCACAGGCAGAGACAGAGACAGATGCAGAGGCAGAGGAAGAGGAAGAGGAAGAGGAAAGGGAAAGGGAGGAGTTGGAGGAGGATGACAAAGAAGAGGAAGAGAGATAGTAAGCAAAATTTGAAAGGAAGAAAAAGGACAAGAATGAAGAAGTGAAAAAGGAAGAAAAAAAAGATAACGAGGAGGAAGAGGAGGAGGGGAAATTAGTGGAGGATGGTGAAGCATCAAATCTGAAAAAGGTAATGGTAAGGAGGAAAAAGAAGAGAAAGCAAAATTAAGGAGGACAATGATAAGGAGAAGGAGAGGATCAAGATAAATAACAACAAGAATCAGAGAAGGAGGAGGAAATAGAGACGGATGGAGGACAAATTGGAAGAGGCAGAAATAAAAGATAAGGGAAAAATAAAAATAGAAAATAAAATAAATGGAAACAGAGAAGCAAAGAGAAGATAAGATAAGAAAAAAAAGAAAAGAAAAGAAATAAAAAGAAAAAAAGGAAAAAAAGAAAAAAATATACACAAATAAAATGAAATAAATATAAAATATAAAAAGAAAACATGTAAGAAAGAAAGAAAATGACAAGGAAAGGAAAGGAAAAAAGAGAACATGCAGAAGAACTACAAACTTGAAAAGAAGGAGGGGATATAATAAAAAAATGGGACAACAAGAAGAAAAGAAAGAAAAGAGTAGGATACGGTAGAAGAGACAATTAATAATAAAGAAAAGATAATTGATAACAATATTGACAAAATAGTAAAGGCAACACTTACCTTCTATGAGTAACTGTGGCATATTATTATTGATAATGACATCATTAACAAAAATAATGTGCATAGAATTAATAACAATATTAATATTTTTTTTTCTCTCCCATAAATCAAAATCTTTACACTTACTCAGTGACAACAAAACCCTAATGGTAAAATACTGAATTACATGTATATTCCATAAAATGTTCTTTAATCTAAAATACTAATTACAGAACATAGGTCCATCATAATTCAGAAACTGTTATGACGCAAAAAAAATTAAATCACATATTGCAGTTTTATATATATATATATATATATATATATATATATATATATATATATATATATATATATATACTTATAATATAGAAAATAATTTACATTTCTAAATGTTTTTTTGTTTCATCCAATATCTCTTTTGTATGAAATGTATATACATATACATACATATATATACTTTATATATATACATATACATATATGCATATATATGTATGTATTATATGTATTATATATATATATATATATATATATATATATATATATATATATATATATTATATATATATATATATATATATATATATATATATATATATATATATATATATATATATATGTAAATATATATATACATATATCTACACACATAATGTAATAAATCAATCAGCAATTTATATGGAAGAATGATGTATAATAAAACAACATTACCCACATAAAAATCAACATTTGACCAATTTTGGCTAAATTGAGATGTGAAATGACATATTATGTTAAAGTACTATCGCAACACACAAAATTACTGTAAAGATTCCTTATAAATGTAATTTCATCTCATCTTTCCACTATCTTTCAAAAAGAATTAATCATTTTCTCTTCTAGGTGCACAAGAAACACTGTCATCAATCAGTTTGTGCCTAAATTCCATGATGATCTGTCATACAATAACACCATAGTATAATGCCATTACTACTTACATTATTACAATAGGATAAAATAATATAAAATGCAGTTCGTAATAAAAGCGATTCTGGTTCCAATAATTTCCAGGGAAAACCACCTGTGCAAGATTCATGTTCATAGCGTTAAATAAATATATCATAAAATAAAATATCAATCGTTATTTGCTCATCAATTTACTCGTATTGATTTCATGATTTTTTTTTTCTTTGAGAAATTTTGCCTCATCTTTTCGACTTAACGAAACTATATGATTTTTTTTCCTATGGATTTTCCTATTTCCTTTGCATTTCACTAATTATTCCATTCACATTTAAACATCTTCAAATTATTCTCATTCTAGTATCGAAATAAAACGAATATGATTTCAAAGAAGCGAAAAACTGAGAACTATACTAGCAACATCGTGAACGAAAATTAATGGAAAACGACACAGTAAATATAAACAAATAACTCTAGACCGGTTCCAAACACACTATCATGTGCAAATTAATTAAAATATCATTTATTTTTAAGAAAAATAACAAAGACAAAGTGAGACATTTTATTTTAACTGCGAAATACACTTTTAGAAGTCTTCTTTATAAATGTAGGCGGCAGCATAACAATTGCAAAAACAACTCAGTAACAATAAATCGATGATGATGACTGATGATGATGACTGATGATGATGATGATGACATGATGATAATGATGATGATGATGATATAATGATGACTTGATAATGATGATGATGATTATGATGACTGATAATGATGATTGACGATTAATGCTGATGAATGATGATGGTAATGATGATGATGACTGATGATGATTGATGATAATTATGAATGCTGATGAATGCTGATGGTAATGATGATAATGATAACAGACTAATAAAAATAATTATGATATTAATAACAATAATAGTAATATTACGATAATTATTAAATCATAATAAATCGATCATGATGATGGTGAAGATAATAACGATAATAATATGATATAACTAATAATATTGATAATTGTTGCATTGATGGTAATAATAATAATTACAATAATGACTGATGGTTACTATTTTATTTTTATTTTTTTGACAGACAGGTAGACAGACAGCCAAACAGACAGAAAGACAGACAGATGGACATGCATATAAGCAGACAGACAGACAGACAGACAGATGGACATACATATAAGCAGACAGACAGACAGACAGACAGATGGACATACATATAAGCAGACAGACAGACAGACAAAAATAATTTTGCTTTCATATGGAACAGCGAAGAAATTACACGGATTAAATTCTTAGAAAAAAATGTGTATGGATGAGAATAATTTATCACATTTGCAATAAATTATAGAAATGGAAAAATTATAAGAACAAAACGATAATGATGATAACAATAATAATTATACTCATTATAGCAATAATGTTCTCGAACGTCATTTCAAATTATTAAATTTTCCTCGATGATAAACCACCCAAAAATATTGCCAAAATTTCGTTTGGTTTCTATAACGTTCAGCCCGGCTTCATTTTGGGAGTAAATAACAGTAAGTGAAGTAGATATGGATGAAATCAAGAAAGACGAAAAGACCAGTCAAGCTAAAGTAATGGAGGGAACAGAAGAATCATTAAAGAGGCTTGAAAAGAAATATGAAGATGTTTTAGAGAAATACAAGGAATATCGGGTAAGCAAATTGACATTTTTTTATTTTTGACTTTCTCGTCCTTTTTTTTTTTTCTTCCTATTCGTTTATTGTTTGTGTTTTACAATAATTTGATGATTGTGGCGTTTCACTTGAAAAAAATGTAGGCAATATTTTGATTCTCGGGGTGTAGGCTCTAATTAACCTAACCTCGAGTTTTATCATTCCCTGGGCTTTATGTTTTTGTTATGATGACGATATTAATATGGTAATTATATTATCGATTATTATAAGCAAGATGGCTATTAGTATTGTCTTCGTTTTATTTTTTCCCTATTTATTATCATTATTGATTATATGTATATATATATATATATATATATATTATATATATATATATATATATATATATATATATATATATATGATATTATTATTATGATGATGCTTATGGGGACCGTCCCTGGAGGCGTGGGGGGGAGGGTCAAATTGCGTTCGCTAGCGTATTGTATAGGTACAAGAATGAAGAAACTACTAATCGACTATTAAAGCCCAGCTTTTTGTTAGTTCTCGCGAAACCCGCCAACACGAGAGGTACACGCTAATATGCGCCTGCCTACAGTTGTGTGGGCTTTTGCTTGTTGCAATCGTGCATACGGCATTAGAAAATGACATTCCGCATAAATATGAGGTCGTGAATGTTCAAAGAACACTTTTATACCAATATCATAAAAGAAAAATGACATTAGTAATTCAGGACGAAATATGTTTACGCCGTGGATATTGTTCCGGCACCGGATTTTTTAAGTTTGGCTATTCGTCCGGCATACATGCGCACTAACTATTTGCTAAGGGTCGATCATCGATTATAGATTCCTTCAAAGTTGGAACTGAATTTGCCAGTTTTGCTGATGTGAAGGACAGCTTGACCAAATTTCAAGAGAGCACTTTCGCACAGTTTTATGTCAAAAGCTTCAAGGACTGTTGCTGCAGCTTTGAAGCGTACACCGGATAAGAGAGTAAAGGCAGAGTTGAAGAACTCCTATTTAGTGTTTGCCTGCATCGGGAAATACGGCAATTGGGAGGGGGTTCGGAGGCTTCCGGTAGGGAAATACGGCAATCGGGAGGGGGTCCAGGGGCGTAGCCCTTGTATTAGGACGGATTTTTGGTTCATACGGCGATCCTACTGGTAGTTCGTGCGTTTAAGATGCGGTTCACTCGCTCGTTCGTTCGCGCAACACCGTGTCGAATCATCCGTGGCCGAATCTTCTCTCGGGTTCCTACATTTTTCACTTTCTTTATCATCTGAAGTACTATCCTTGGTTCGGATTTTCAATTTCCCACATTCTTTTGCTTTTTAAAATGCATGGTAAGAACGAAATCACCCCCCCCCCCAACACCCGATTTCCCACGGGATCCTCCAACATTGTTGGCGGGAGTCGGGGACTATCGTTTATACCATAGGCACGATAAAATCACAGAATAGGGATGAAAATCACAGAAATGTCAAACTGTAGCAAACTTAGCATGGATGTCCACTCGATCCTAATTATAATTAAAAATATTGATGATGTGCGCCCCTGCCGGAAAAAATAGCTATTCACTGCAGACCTGACAAAAAACGCCGGAAAAATATCCCAGCAGTCTCTCGATCTGACTATGAATATTGCATGAAATGACAAAGAATTATTGACAGTGTGCAAGCGCGAGTGTATGCCGGACGAATAGCCAAAATGTTATAAAATCCGGTGCCGGAATAATATCCACGGCGAATATTAATATTTTATGAAATTTATCTAAAAAATAAAACGAAATTTTTTTCTGTACTTTTACACATCGAGACTCACTGGTAATATGTTGTAGTTTGCGAAGGGATCTGTATGTATACCAAATACAAAGCACTAATGTTTGAAAATAGCTGTATAAATAAGGATTAAAATATTTCCGTTAAACTTTGCTCAACGATCGGTACTCTTCAGCATCTGCATTCAGAATTCCCCACGTTTTTCTCCTCCTCCTTTTTTTTTTTTTTTTTCTTTTTTTTTTTTTTTTTTTTTTTTTTTTTTACAACCTTCGGTACATCTCGTGGGTCGTAATTTTCGTGCGATTCAAACGCAGTTTCCTTCTTTCGCTAGACCATCAGAATTCTGAGGCCGTGAAGACAGCCGATTTTTAAATTTTGGAATAAATTAAAATATATAATAACGTAAAACTGAAAAGTGACCCAAAAAAATACTCTATGTCAAAATCCCCCCCCCCCCTAGATAAAGAGGAAATTCAAAAATTAGCTTTGTACATGGCCTTAGTATAAGGTAGATCTAACACAATTACTTTGGGGGGGATAGATCAGGGGGGAAATGCGACCTGTGAGATGTACCGAAGACAGTACAAAAAAAGTTGATTTTCGACTTTGGAATATTTTTTCATGATGGAATGAGAGCAAGGTAAGCATTTTCCGGGATGGTCCCCTTATGCTTCTGCTGTTGCCACAACTACTACCATTACACTGCCATTTCTACTATTATAACTACTACTACCCTACACCTATTACTACTAATATTTTTGTTGATTTTTTAAATACTGCATCGCTCTTATTGCCAATATCTTCGTAGAAAGAAGAAAAAATTCATCATATCTAAATTTCCACGAAACCTAACTGAACAACAAACTTCATAGGCGCAGGAAAGGGTGGGGAGAGGTAAATGTTGCCCCACCCCTCATCTAGAATGGAGTATTATCTAAATAAAAATATCTGACATTTTAGAGTTTATTTCTTTAAAACTGCTAGAATCTAGGGGCTTCACCCCTCGGTCCCACACCCTGGACCCTGCCTGCAGCCCCTTGGACCCTCGGCTGTTTCAAGGGGGAACCTACTTTGCCCCCCCACCACTTAAAACGGCTATGAATTTTATTGGATTTCATCTAATTAATGTCTTTTGGATATTGCACTGTCAGAGAGACGGGGAGGAGAAGAAACAAGAGAAGGAGTTCCTACAAACATGTCTTCCAAGTCGCCTTCCAAGAATGGTCAGTATGTTGATCACTTAGTGTTTGATTTATGGTGATAAGTTATATTAGTGTTATACAATTAGTGATCACATTAATGGTATCATTGTTACATAACTGGCGAGATCACTAGTGTTATATGTTAGATAAGATTATTAGAGATGTGATTAGTGATACGTATTATATGCAGGATCTCATTATCCCAAACAATAATTGATTATATACAATTCATTATATCCTTACTGTCTGTGCAGAGGACACTTCGAAAAGTTTTCCTGAATGAGTTAATCGTGCACTCTTGCCGTTAGTGAATCGTACTTCCCATAGGCGCGAGAGTAGTATATGTGTGGTATAGTGTATGTTTATAATTATCACATGTCTTTCTGAAAGCTGTGGATTAAATCAAATGGACGCTGCTGTTTGTTTGATACAAGCTGTAATTACCTTAACGAATACATGTACCTGCATAGTTAATGATATTACTGAAATATGTATAGATCCGTTAATAGACAGTGACCACGGTTGCTGAGCTGGCATGACCAGTTAACCTGTGTTATTCAAGTGTTGCCTCACGGTCCACCGCGCTCATTTATACATCCACGAACATACCCCGCAATGGAAACCCACTCTCACGTCACTGCCTGTAATTGTACAAGTTTGTATGTTATCGTTTGTGTTTGTTAGTCATGCGACAAATTGTTTCATAAAAAGAATATACGTTCAGAGATGGATATATATATACGCATACATTGTTAGGCCTCATGTTAGCCCTAACAACAATCTTCGTTATTACTTTACTCTTGTAATGTAATCAAAGGTTATTTCAAATAGATTTAATATTAGTTGTGATTACTGAAACTTCAGATCAGTATGGCATCATTCTGACCCATCAATTCATCACTAATTCAGAAAACCTTAAAATAAAATCTTATTCTAATATATGTCAATATCACTGATATGTTCATTCATGTGTATCATTATTATTCGACTCTTGGATTCTTATTTAATAGATCTTGTATTTCTCGTGTCGATGAGCTTCAAGTGATTTAACTAGTGTAAGCGTAGTTTCTTTTTGTTTCGTCTACCAGTGTGTTTAAGCCCACTTCGTGTCTCTGTGGTGTGGTTCCCTTCTTTGCTCAGTGTCCTATTAGGTAGGAATTATAAAATCGGATAACATTAAACGCTGTATCTAAAGAACTTGCAAATTTATTTCATAATAGTACTTACAATTTGACTATAGTTCCTTGTCCCGCCATCCAATAACTTGGGGGAAAGACGAACTGGAATCTACAGTTAACTTCGCACTGATGCTAGTTAATCTTTGATCATTTATAATAGTTTTTACGGCTAATTACGCCGTTTTCTTCAAATGAGTTCCTGGAGTCAACACCGATTCATCTTCACTCAATGATGCTCCAAATTGAACTGCCTACAGGAAGGTTAGATCTTGGGATGCCAGGTCACCTAAACAGAAGCTAGGTTGTTCGGTTGTATGGCTGTAAAGGTGGCAGTTTCAGGAGGTGACTTGGTATTTTGGCCCTTACCTCGAGCTAAAGTAACCACCAAGATCGTCCACAAGTACTTCACGTCTAACATAATCATAACTTCACCTACAGCCTCACTACCACCTAACTTATTTTGTGGTTTTATTCCCTTAGAATTATATATCATCATAACTAAGTAAGGGTTACGTTTTACCAATTAATGCAATAATGATAGCATAATTTGAGTGTCACTGCTTCTGGCCAATGGCAAGACAAACCGTTTCATATAAGGAATATACATTCATATATATATATATATATATATATATATATATATATATATATATATATATATATATACATATATATATACATATATATATATACATACATATATATATATATATATATATATATATATATATATATATATATATATGTGTGTGTGTGTGTGTGTGTGTGTGTGTGTGTGTGTGTGTGTGTGTGTGTGTGTGTGTGTGTGTGTGTGTGTGTGTATGTATGTATGTATGATTCCTCTAACATAAGATATGAAATAATATGTTCATTTCTTGACCCCCTCCATACGACAAAAGGAAGTTCGAGCCGACGAGCAGTCAAGCAAGATCCTAGCAATGAAGGAAAAAGTCTGTTTGCTGGAGGGGAAGACACAGGCCCAGAGCTCAACACTGGCACTGGCAAAGAAGAGACTGGAGGAGATAAAGGAAGCGAAAAACGAATTGCAAAAGAAAATGGGCGTGATAGAGACGAGGATGGGCTCCCGGAGGACCAAGATGGCGATGGCGGCGAAGGCGGTGGAGAAGATGAAGCCGCTGGCTGACGTATTGGAGAGGTGAAGTGAGGGAGGGAAGAGGGAGAGAGAAAGAGGAGGAAGAGGAAAAGAGAGGGTGAAGAGAGAGAGGAGGAAGGGGGAAGAGAGAGAGAGGAAGAAGAAAGAGGGGGGAAGAGGAAGAGATAGAGAGAGGGATTGAAGAGAAAGAAAGAGAGGAGGCAGAGGAAGAGAGATAGAGGGTGCGGAAGAGGAAGAGAGAAATTTGATTTGATAACATTTATTTACAGAACATACATGCCCTGCAAAAAGCCAGGGTAAGATACAAAAGCATCTATCCAAATTGGCTGTCCCTCAATGTATGCAGAGAGCTGTCAGTCAAACATTAGGCTTATATACATGCCTTAAGGGATGTGATATCCGCACTTCATTATTAGTATATCATCTAGATGAACCGTATTCATGTTGACAAATGTAGAAAAGGTATGAATGAGAATGAATATCTTCACAATACAAGAGATGTATTTGACCGGTTTCGATTATATCTTCGTCAGAAATACATACATTGTATTTCATGTATTTCTGACCAAGATTTAATCGAAACCGGTCAAATCCGTCTCTTGTATTGTGAAAATATTCATTCTCATTCATACCTTTTCTACATATCATCTAGATGGTAAAAAAAATGTATATATCATTAATCATGTCAAAAATAAGGCCATAGTCTATAATAAAGCTAATATAACCAATAAATACAATACATTTCAAGAGATTGTTTGGAGAGTGATTACTTAGACATTTCCAAAGCCCACTACAGTTGGTGCTGTTGTTGATCGAGGAGGAGCTCGTACATCCTCTCCTGGAATTGAGATTGCTGAACCATCTGTCGTATCATAAACATCATCTACTTCATCTGCCGAAACAGCATTTGTAGCAGATTTTATATCCGTTGGTCTATTGTTTGTCCTGATGCAGCGAGGGCTGGTGCTGATGTTGGTGCAGTAGACGGTGCTCGGGTTGGAGCTGCAGCTGGTGCTGAAGCTGGTACTGGTGCTTGAGTTGATAGGGTTGTTGATCCTATTGGTGCTGGTGCTGTTGCCGGTAGCATGTCTTGCCTTGCGGGGGCCATCACGGTTGACCTCTGCAGGTGTGGGAATTCCCCCATACCATCAAAGGGCGGGGCAGGGATGGACTTCTTCTGGGGGAGGGCTGCCTGCCTTTTTGACTGTTTATCTTCCTATCCTTTGTATAGTATGCGCACAGTGGAGAATTAGCATTATGCTCTTGTCGGCAGTTCTCGCATTTCCGAGGAACATTTCTACCTTCGGAAATCTTTTCAGCGCACTATGAACGTCATGAGAAAGAGCGCAGTATCGGCACCGCGGTGCGTCTCGTGGACATGCACGTGCTCATGTCTCCACTTTGAGCAGTTAGAATAAAATCGGGTCAGGGATTTATAGATGGCACACCTGAAGGGTGATATGCCCTCGAACCATGTTAACAGATTTGGGAACTACCTCCCTCTTATACGTATGATGACTCTCTGAGTCAATCACTCCATAAATTTACATGCGACTAGCATGAATGACACGTTTGTTGTATGCTGTCATTTCATGTTTCACTTTCCTTTGGAACATCGAACACAATGGCATTCGTACATTTCTATTCCCAAGAACCTTTGCTTTTCCAGCACTTCACCATTTGCACCAGTCGTAATATGGGCAAGAATTTGTTCGTTCTTGCATCTTACATATACATTATTTAATATTTACCTCTATTGACCCTTATGTTTTATTGTCAGGGTCCATTTTTAATGTCTGAGACCCATTGATATTTATCGCCGTGCGTATGAAGTTTTGTGTCCGGTCTGAAGTGTGAACACAGGTGTCGGGGGGGGGGCGACTTCCACTGAAGCAGATAACTTTCTCTGCTTTTTTCTCGTTCAATCAATGGGCCTACCAATATCGTATCTCCCCTCTATTTCCATGTGTCGGGTTGTGGTCATCCTAACAGTGGGCGCTGTTACTTCCCGACCACGCAGGGACTGACCTGAGTGCCTGTCCTTTGAAAATAAATGACACACACGGTTCGCCTACAGTGCCTCACAGTACATCTGTGAGTGTGCGTAAAATCTTTCACTTTTAATTTTACTGTTAATTATTTGTATCATTCGAACTTATGATTATGTGATCATTGTCACGCACAAGATCAGTATACAACTGATAGGCCTGTGAAGACCTGATTGTCAAGGTAACATAGAACCGTTAAGGACAGGTCACAAGGTCAAGAGAGGGCACTATTCACATCCATAGACTGGTGTCGTGACGTTAACGAGGAAGAGAGAGAGGAGTAGGAGAGAAAGGAGAGAGGGGGAGAGGAAAAAGAGAGGGGGAAGAAGAGAGATAAAGAGGGGAAGAGGAAGAGAGGGGGGAAAGAGAAGGAAAGGGAGAGAGAAGTGGGGGAAAGGAAGGGCAGAATGAGAGAAGGGGGGAGGACAGGGAGAGGAAGAGGGAGAATGACAGATTAGACAAAATCATATACATTTTTAAATAAAATTTTGAGAATAGTATATGTCATTTCCATGAACTAAACCTCATTGCAATTACAGGGATGTTACTCACTTTGAAGAGATATACACTAAGAATGAGGAAGAGTATGTAAAGGTCCGGGAGAAAAACAGAAAAGTGGTAATTTACCAGACTGAAGGCAATAAACGGAGTCTGGGAAATGAAGAATTGGAGAAGACGATTCAATTATTAACGAGAAGATCTCAAGAACAGAAAGAGGTTTGCAAGGAACTGAAATCGAAAGAGAAGGCTGCTATGGAGAAAATAGACGATTGTTATCAAAAGGTGGGCATCTTACAATTCTTTGGTCTAATATTTCAGTAATGTTCTGTATTTGAAGATTTTCAGAAATTTTATTTGTGAATATATACACATGATATGCCGAAATAATTTTTTTGTTGTGAATGTATTGTAAAAAAAAACTTTATTCCCTTCTCAGACCAATGAGGAAGGAGAACTCATTGCTGAGATCAATACAACATACGAGCGAAAATGGACCAAGGTTCATGAAAGTCTTGGCCATTGCAATCGACTGATAGAAGCAAGCAACCTCGAAATTCAGGAACTGAAAGACGACACACCCGTAGTGACTGCAGATCTACCAGTCAAACAAAAACAAGAAGCGGTGAATCAAGAGCAGGATGAGTTGGTGATTGTAGGGTCTGTTGAACTCAAACGCAAGGAAGTGGACGAATTGCCCCCTATAGTGGAAGACTGTACTGTTGTATTGGATGAAATTACCCTGGATGATTGCCCTTTGTATATAGATGAAGCAGCAATGCAAGACTCTCCTATGTATGTGGAAGACACTGCTTGGCATGATTCTACAATCTTAACAGAGGATATTATAGATATTACAGAGGAAAGTCCAACAAATTCTCCGAAAAGCTAAAGGATACTTTTTCATGTAAGCCATCTGCCAAACCACTGGACAGTTCACTTACAAATGAACCCATTGAGATGTTTCTTTAAAGTAATAAGATTGCCGTCAACTGTGTTATCATTTATCAAGCTCCCATGCATTACGTCAACGAGTTCTGTGGAAGATTCACAGGAAATCTGTTGCAGAACATGAAAAAATGTGAGTGAAAAATCTGTATGCTGTATCACGAAACCGTCCGGTATTTTATTTCTTTAATTAGTAAGTAGTATTAAGTTTTACATGCATTTAAGCTAAGTAATATAGAGTATACTCATATGAACACTTCTAACAAAAAATCAAACAATAAAATTAATGTTAATTTTGAAGTTTTCTTTCTGGTTAACCAAGACAAGTTTAGTTTCTTAATTATGTAGTTTATTTGAGGCATATCTAAAAATGTGTAAAGTTGATTTGTTTTGGTTACTAGTGTATGGTACTAAGAACATTATGCTAGTATTCACTTATTTTTATTTTAATATTGTGCTACATTAAAAAATGGCTTTAAAGGTAAATGTAACATATAATTTTGTCTGGGAAGAATTTAATTACTTCTTTTATACTGTATAGTTCAGGTTCAAATTATTTTCTAACTTCCTGTAATGTCATCCAGCTAAAACATTCCCTAATAAAAATTCCTTGTCAAATATTCATTTGATTTTTATCCTTTTACTTCCTAAATATATATTTGATTCTGTCCCCTACTACAGTTGGCTATCAAGGTTTAGGAGAAAAAGAAAGAGGGAAGGGGAAAGGAGAAAGAGAGAGAGTGGGGAGGGGGGTAAGGAAGAGGAACATATCGTTAGCCAAAAGAATTCACAATAAAATATAAACCATAATATCTTGAGGTGGAAGAAAAAAAACATTTTATTGTCATTTTAATTTTCTACACAAAAAAAAACATTGAAATAGAAAAGAAAAATTGATAAGCTCTTAATCTAAATACATTTCATATTTATCCTGATGGCAAAGAATAGGTAAAGTCTGGTGATATGAGCTATGCTGCACAGCAATCTTGATCACTTCTCACCCCCTGGAGGTGGCGGGGGCAGGGGTGGTCGTGGTGGAGGTGGTGGTCCCATCCCTGGGGGTGGAGGACCACTTGGCCCATTTGACACAGGCACTCCAGGTGGAGGGGGTCGCATGCCAGGTCGTGGAGGAGGACCAGGAGGCATTGGGCCACCTGTTGGAGGTGGGCCTGGAGGAAGAGGAGGCCCACCACGCATGGGGGGCCCCATTCCTGGCATGGGTGGGGGTCCATGAGGGCCTCGAGGTGGATAGGGTGGCCTTCCAAAGGGTGGACGTCCAGGAGGACCTCCAGGAGGAGGTGGTCTCCATCCAGGAGGAGGCGGACGCATACCTGGAGGAGGAGGCATGCCTGGTGGACCATGTCTTGGCGGAGGCATTCCTGGGGGAGGAGGCATCCCAGGTCCTCCCTGCCAAGGTGGAGGTGGCATGCCAGGCCGGGGAGGATACCCATAGGGAGGTACTGGACCAGAATTTCCTGTGTTCCCACCTGATACTGGAGGAGGACCTGAAGGAGGAAGGGGTGGCTGTCCTGGAAGGGGAGGCTTTGAGGGGGGTGGGGGCATAGGGGGTAATGGTGGGGCAGACCCTGGTGGTGGAGGTACAGATGTCGTGGGAGGTGCATTGGGTAGGGGTGGCACAGATGCTGATGTGCCAGGAGGGGGAGGCACAGGTGGTGGAGGGGGCACAAGCATACCCGGAGGTGGCACTGACATTCCAGGTGGTGCAGTTGAGGTCACCCCTGAAGATGCTGGAGGAGGAGGGGGTGCAGGAGGGGTGGTGCTGATTGCGTGGGTGGTGGAGGTGCGTCAGCAAACAACTGGTGAGGCTTGTCTGCCTGCGAGAGAGGATTCTGTGCAGCCAGAAGACGTTCTGCAGCTGTTCCGTGACGCTCGCCCTTGCTATCCTTTTTGAATGCATATGAAATGCTGATGGACCGGTTGCACAGATACTGGCCATTCATTGCCTCAATGGCAGCATCAGATGCTTCAAAGGAGGCAAAATTAATAAAGGCATAGCCTTTGGAATTGCCTGTGTCTGGGTCCCTCATGATCTGTAAAAATACAAAATATATGATTAGAATAGCTACACATATGTATTCTTTTCAAGCTATATCCTAACCACAATTTAATGCAATGCAACCAACTGGTGGGTCATGATGGGTCATTTTATTTTGCTATATAACTAATGTGTGGGCTAGAAATAGAAATTCATCCTTTTTTTATTTTATTTTAAACCAATATCATGAAACAGATATTAGTTTACAGATATTCAAGTATTTAGATGAGATATAATAACTAATTTCATATGAAAATAAGCACCTATTTAATATAAAAACTACCATTATTCTTTAAAGAAACTGTAAAAAAGTAATCATATTCATGAGAGAAATAATGGTTTTTCTTTATAAAAATTCTAATTTCTTCTCCTCCATGATAATATCAGTGCATTCTTAACATTCTGAAAACACGCTGGCCACTTTTACCTACCATGCACTGACTACCAGTAAAATGCAATGCAAAGACCTTTTTTCTCTCTAAATGCAATTTGACCCCAGTGGTGCAACTACATATGTTTTTTATACACAATGTTGGGAGGAGGGAGAAAGTAAAAATAAAGAAGATGGAGGAGGAAAATAAAGAGACGGGGGAGGAGTAAGAGAAAAGGAAAAAGAAGCAGGAGAAAAAGACGGAGAAGGAGGAGGGAGAAAAAGACAAAAAGGAAGAGGAGAAAAAAGAATGAACATATACACAACTGTACCTTTGGTGTTTGTAGAATAACGCCAAAGGCTGAGAATGTATCGTAGAGTAGCTTCTCATCAACCTCTGGGTCCAGGTTACCAATAAATATGTTTGCTCCAACATCTAGGTTCTTCTGGTGTGCTGAAGCCTTATTCACTCGTATAGGTTTACCAAATAGCTATAGGAAGAAGAATGAGAGATTATATATATACAGTAAAGTACTCTTATATTTATGGAGTACAAAGGACAAATGGAGTATGATTTATTAGAAAGAAGAAGAGGAAGAAGAAAATATATATGACTAAATTGACAAAATTATATATTCATTGTGGCATATAACTGCATTTTGACAGCAAGACAATGTGTTAACCTAGGAGCAATAAATGACACATATGCTTTTAAACACCTGAAGGCAAAAATCTATCTACCCTATTTTTACTTCTCTATGCAACTTACCTTTATCATGTTCATAATCTTTATAGCATAATCTGCATCCTCTTCACCCATGAATTCGACGAAGCCATACCCTTGGTGCTGTTGTGTGACCCTGTCCTTTGGCATGTGGACATTGACGACTGGGCCTGCTTGCACAAACAGTTCCCATAGCAACCCCTCAGAGACCTTGTCATCCAAGCCACCCACATAGATGGTGGCATCTGTGAGGAAATAAAGAGAGTGGATGATATAAGGCATGAGTATAATTTGAAATGAGACACGCAACTTGCCTCTTGACTTTTCACCCGACAATAAAGTGTGGTGGCTATTGTTTACGCACGAGAATATGAGGTCAGTTAAGCTTCAATAAAGTTAAAAGTAAGACAGATAGAATAGGTCAACTAAAAGATTAAATTTACATGTAGTAAAGCAGACTCTAATCAGACTTACAATAATAACAATTATATTAAATGTTGGCAAATTGAATAACTTATTGATATAAAATTTCTTATGCAACTGAAAATAACTACGTAACTAATAAATGAAACATTGACAATAACAAGAAAAATAACAGATAACAAAATACAATAACAATAACAATAATAATAACAATAATAATAATAATAATAATAACGATAATAATAATAATAATAATAATGATAAAAATATTAGTAACAATAACAATAACCACTACAATAATAACATTAACAACAAAGTATCACATCCCTTACAATCCCACATATGCAACAACCTTAGCCCCAATAAGAAATGCTTCATATTCCCATGTGGGTTAACAAGCCTTCACAATGCATAGCTAGTCTTAAAAGTCATAGGTAGGACCAATTCCTCACCTGAGATCTAAACACTATGGAATTTAAAATCTCCATCTATATATATAATGGGATGGCAATTTTTATGAAAATGATCAATCACAGTAAATCAATGAAATGACTAAATAAACTAATTCAGTCAATTTTCATACACAACACAACCATCTCAAACTGCAGGTGAAATTTTACATCATAGCCTAAATAACAATTGACTGAGCCACATAACAATCATACATTACAATAGTTTGCAATGTCTGTTGGTCTATATCAGTCTTCTGAAGGTTCTGTGGCTGTGAATCCCTTAGACACATTCTTTCCAAGATGATATCTATAACACTGTCAAATTTCTTTACTTGCATTTTGCACAAATAATGTTATGAGTGAAGTCTTTGAATGGTTAATCCTTACAGTAAAGATGAACAAAGGAGGGGCAAATTGAAGATGACATTCTTGCAGAGAAAAAGTTACTCTTTGGTGCAAGAAATAACATAATGGTGCTCCTCTGTTTTAGCTCTATGTTGCTGTGACAACTGAGGTTATAACTGACAAGAGGGTACACCCAGTTGGGGCAACTTGGATTACTGCATAAATCTTGTGAAGAAGAGTTCGGTACCTCATTACAATACAGACAAATTGACCAGACACCAAGCCCCTAAGCTTACGCCTCATATGGCACTGTGACAAGGCATGAATGATCAGAATACCTGCAAAAGGAAACTTTGACTACTTATTTTTGGAGACATTGTTGGCAGAGAAGGATAATGTCAGAGTAAGGGGCTGTAGTGGGAATCACAAAGAATTGATCCCACTTGGCTAGGTCAGAGAGAGTACTCAAAAGGTTTGCAGAGGTGGAAACAGTAGAAGGATGAGAGCAGGAAGAAGATGGGGTAGTATGGAGAAAGGTAGTACTGTGGTAGAAGGAGTATTAGGATGAGTATCAATAAGGGGTGGAGGGATAAACAATGAAGAAGAATGTGCAGTATGAGATAGTGTTGAGAATGTTAGAAGAGAGAAAGTGGTGCATTCTGAAGGTTGAGTAATGACCCGGGAGGGTGGTTCAGAATGGATAGTGTTGTCAGTAGACATCACGGAGGGAGTATTAGTATCAGTGGTCAGAGTCTCAGTTGAAGGAGAGGCAGGGGTTGGGAAATCAATGAAATTAAATTCAGATAAGCAAGATGATGAATGGGCAAGCCTTAAAGCCCGTAGTAAGGATATAAAATCTTCCATTGCTGGTCATGCTAAAACTTCATTATTCCCATGAGGAAAAGAAATGGGTCTACCCCTCAAAGATGCCATAAGAAGTAAGCGATAAGTGGTTAACCATGGGAATACTGTGCCCATGGCTCCTAGAGGCCGTTCAAGACTATCACAAAGTCAGCTTTTTATCCTTTCAGCACAGCCCTTGCGCCTTTGAAAGTGGACAGAAGGGGAAGAAGAGAAGAAAAAGGAGAGGGGAGAAGAAAAGACCATGCAAAATTAATCGAGACAAGGGCTGAGGTCCAAGGCTGGGGTGGTCCCCTACACTGGGCCTCAGTCACTGGGTATTGGTCAAAATTCTGCCAGCCGCCTTTTAGACGAAAAATAACATATGCAAATGATAGAGCGAGTTATTCTAAGAAACTTTTCTTCTATGTACTTCCTTCGCAGCTCAAAACTAACGAAGTTATTGGACACATAAGTGTCCGTGAGCCCGTTATGAAGTACTATCTCAATATTTTAAAAATCGCCATCCGATATTGTTTCCTTCCTTTAGTAAACAAAAAATGATG